AGCAGGGAGCCCGATGTGGGACTCGATCCCAGGACCCTGGGATCATGACCTGAGCCGAAGGCAGTCGCTCAACCGACTGAGCCACCCAGGCACCCAAGTTAACTATATTTTCTTAAGTAAAGATGACACAAACTGTGTTAAGTGTAATTACTGACCTGCAAAGAGAATGCTAGAAGCTTGAGAATATAACTAAAAATTCCTAAAAGAAAGGGCTGCTTTAAACGTGTAAGTATAAGATAGCACTGCAAAGCCTTGATGCTGTTCAATATGTAAGTTACAATTTGAAGATTTCAAATATTTTAGAAATTTTGAACTCATTTTTGAGTGACTTGCCTCGTATCAATTTTATAATTGTAGCAAAGAGGAAAGAGATTAAAGATGTGAGATCATTAGATGAAGAGGAAGCCTGGAAAGTAAAAACTAGGATTTTATTTGTAACATGTAGATTATTTTCATGCTGATAAAGTGATCCCTTATTTTTCTATGTAACACTTTCTCCACACAGTGGTGCTATAGTTCTAGTATATTTACGTGTGATTTTGTATGTAACACTCTTTACTAAAGGCATTCTATTTTTCAAAATCTTTTGTCAGTCCTCCATACCATCTAGTTGCATATTCACATCCCTTATACCGCTTAGATCAACTTCAATTTTTCCTACGAGAGAATTGATACATTTGTGTATAGGAACAATTGGTTTCCATTTCTCTTCTTCCTAAACAGATGCGCTAAAAGAACAGCTACACAAAAGGGGTGTTCGTATTTTGACTGGATTGGGAAAATATCTTCAACAATTGGACAAGGAAGGAACTGGACTTTTAGATAAGGCAGATCTTAAGCAAACTCTACAAGTGTTTCACTTAGAACTGTCTGAAAATGTAGGTACTGCGATGAATGACATAGTATTCTTAAGTGGTATTATTAACTTTTCTATTGAGATTTTAGTAGTTCATGTGTCTCTTTTTTTAAAAAGATTATTTATTTATTTATTTATTTATTTATTTATTTATTTATTTATAGCATGAGTGGGGGAAGGGGCAGAGAGACAGGGAGAGAGAGAATCTCAGGCAGAGTCCACACTGAGTGCTGAGCCCCTGAGATCATGACCTGAGCCCAAATCAAGAGTCGGACGCTTAACCGACTGAGCCACCAAGGTGCCCCCATGTGTCTCTTTCTTTTTGCTTCATAATCAGTGTTAGCCATCAGGCGACAAGTCCTGTTAAATTTTAAAATTTCAATATTCATTCCTCCCTCATGTATTTAAGAAGAACCTAATAAGTAGGCATTGTTCTAAGCTCTGAGAAGGCATACTCTATACTCTTAAGGTCTTCATAATCAGAGGAAAAGAAAGATGAAGGATTACAGAAGACTATATGTGTTAAATGGAGAATGCTTTCAGAACACATGGGATCAATTCCAGGCCAGGTTATGGGGAAGAAGAGAGAAGATCATAGCATTCCTGGAGGAGGGTATATAGCTGAGCTGAGTTCTGAAGGATGAGGAGGAGTTAAACAGGCAAGAGGGGAGGGAGAATGTGGGTCAGACAATGACTACTTCACACAAAGGAGAAGCACATGTGAAGGCATGAAGGGGAGGGGGGCGTGTAGCCTGTTCTAAGAATTGCAGAAGGTCAAAACCGACCCCCTGCCCCCCATTAAGCAACCAAAGCTTTTACACATCCTGTTCCCTGTGCTGTGAGCAATCTTTTTTTTTTTTTTAAGATATTTTATTTTTTATTTGACAGAGAGAGAGAGAGTAGGAGCAGGGGGAGTGGCAGGCAGAGGGAGAGGGAGAAGCAGACTCCCTGCTCAGCAGGGAGCCCGATATGGGGTTCAATCCCAGGACCCCGGGATCATGACCTGAGCTGAAGGCAGACGCTTAACGACTGTGCCCCTGCTGTGAGCAATCTTCCACTGGACCTTTGCATGGCTGGATTTTCCATCCTTTAGGCTTTCTCTATGGGGAGCACTACACTGACGCCTCTGTCTAAGGGAGTACCCCATCTGATCCCTGGTCCTCTGTATACCATTTACCATTTTATTTTCTTCATACCACTTTGCAAGTATTTTCTGGCTTTTCTGGCAAGTAGAGTTTTAGTTCCATCAGGGCAGGGACCAAGGTGCTTCTGGTTTCCTGCTGTGTCTAACACCTCGAATAGAACCTTGCATATGGCAAGTGCTGAAGAAACAGCCTCAGTTTACATAGATAGATGTATGGAAGGAAGGAAAAGAGAAGAATGGAGAGAAATAAGCCTGGTGGGGTCCATTACCTTAAAGCCTTGCATGCTATGCTAAGAAGTTTGGGTTTTATTCTAAAAGTAAATTTGAAACACGTCTACCTCAAGGGTTTCAGATCAGAGATTCTCTTGAATTGTTCTCTCTTGCTTCAAATGGTCTTCTCACAAGACAGTGTATTTTGTGAGAGGAACACTGAGAATTGAATTTATGAGATACAGATTCAAGTTCTAGACTTACTACTTCAATGGTGTGATCTTACATAGGTCTCTTAACTTTTTTGATTGACAGGCTCTGCCTGGGCAATCCACAGATAATACCTATGGTCAGAGTTACTTTGAACGTCAGATGAGAAAATTACACAGCAATATGCCTTTTCAACTAAAATTCTGTGCCTGTGTGGTGTTGTTTATCATTGTTGTGACATACCTGTCCTTTGTGTTTTTTACCAAGTTTAACTTTGTGGCCTGCACTTAGTGACACATACTAGGGTTCTTCTAACTTTATCTCTTCCTCTCAATAATAATAATAATAATAGTAAAAACAGCAATAGAAAATTAGAAAGCCTTGGTGTGTTTATCCACAGTCATACAGGTAATTAATAACTGAGTTAGACCTAGAGCCCAGATAGTCTAGGTCAGCCTAGTATTCTTTCTGCATCAACCAGTACTTCTCTTTTTGGTTGATTTGCTAAATTTTTGTCACTGGAGTCAGAAATGAAAACTAAAATAATTATATAAGACTCCTAACATAGGGAGAACATATATTATGAAAATACGAGTAAGCTTCCCTTTTTCCCATTTTAAAAATAATATTCCCTCCTTTTGCCCCTATAATATCACTAGAGACTGCCCATGCAATGATAAGCAAAAATAAGAACTCAAAAATCACCAATCTGGGTCTAATTGTGGAACTAGTTTGGGGAAAGCATAGTCATTCTCCTTAATTTGAAATTTAATAAATTGATATGCACCATAAGTAGCCTAATTTATTAGAGATACTATCAATAAATTAAAGCTCAGGTTTTTTTCCAACTGAATTATCATTTTCCATTCTGTACCATATCTTAGAAAGAAAGACTTATATAAATTTGTTGCTACTTTTGGTAAATTATTCCATTTTTGAAAATTATTTCTTTTAAGCTTCAAGCATATCTTTTGATTCTAGTATTCCATGAGTTGGGCATGCAAATTCATCTTTTATCTGTATTATGTATGATTTTAAAGGTCAAGCTCATTTTTAAATTTAAGAGCACATTTTATGGACACTTAAAGTTGGTCATGTACTGGGCATTTTGACAGACAAATTAGGGGTTATTGAAAATTGGGGGGCAGCAGGGCATCTTAAGATTGAGTTTTTCTTATTAAAATTTTAATTGAAAAAGGAGGAAGTAGAAGAGAACTTTTTTGAGTCCCATTGTTTGTCAGTCACCTTGCTAGATAGCTTATTTACAGTCTCATTTAAAGCTAACAACTTGACTGAAACTTTGAAAATATATTTATTTACCGGAGTTTAAGAAAACTCCATCTGTATTTTTTTTGTTGTTATTAGGAACTCTGTGAATAGAACATTCTATTAAATTGTGCATTTGCAAAGAAGTAGGTGGCAATGGTAAAATGAACAAACTGGCATAAGGATTTACTCAAAATAACACCTTTCAGTGTGAATTGTGGAATAATATTGGAGCCATTCAGATCCTCTGTACTTTGAAACATGACAACCAGCAGAAATACTCTTAGTGGCCCTAATGCTATTGGAATCACTGTAGAACCTGAAGTGAATTTTTAATTGTCACGTTTATAATACATTAAAAATAATTAAATGTTCAAATTCAAGTAGGTGGTGAGCATTTTTGTATAGAAAGGAATCAAACTTAAAATAAGAATTTGTGACACGGGCACTCCTAAATGACCCTGAACATTACAGAACTGTCCACCACAGAGTTCCTTTAAATAGTTTTCTTAGTGCCTTTGTTTGGGTTTATATGTAACTTTTTGGAATTGTTAAGTCTGATACTTTGTCTGGGGCTACAGAAGTAGTAACAAAATATTGCTAAGGTGAGTTTTGTTGTGGTCATATATAACTTTAAGGTGAAACAGTGGTCTCTGAATATTTCTAGGATTTTGAGTCTGTGTGGCAAATTCTGAACGGCAATGGCAGTGGCAAGGTTGATTATGGAGAATTCAAACGTGCCATTATTGGTGAAATGAATGAATACAGGAAATCGTTTGTTCGAAAGGTAACTTTGTTAAGTAATCTTTTAAATAGTTACTTTTTAAAAAGATTTTTAAAATTTTTGTTATTTGAGAGAGAGAAACACTCCCCGCTCGCCCCTGCACGCGCGTGCGCAGGCGCACACAAGCAGGGGAGGGGCTGGGGGGAGGGGCAGAGGGAGAAGCAGACTCCCTGCTGAGCAGGAAGCCCTATTCGGGACTCCATCCCAGGACCCTGGGATCCTGACCTGAGCCAGAGTCAGACTACTAACTGACTGAGCCACCCAGGCACCCCTGAAATAGTTACTTTTAATAGAGTGTTGGGTTCATTATTTTAGAACTTTATTGAATTACCATTGAACATGTTTTAAATTCCTTTACCTGTAATTTATTTTGAGATTAGTAAAATACAGGCAAACACATACATATACAAATCTACCAGGATAAAGCAAAATAATTTATGCATATGTTTTAGGAACAGATTTTAAAAGTAAAATCTGAAATCAAATTTTGGTTCACAAATTACTAGTTCCATAAATTGCTGGCTCCGAAAATGACTAGTTATGTGATTATCTATTATTAAATATGTCTGAGCCTTAGTTTTTTGTCTCATAGAGTTGGTATGAGGATTAAACTTGTAAAATTCTTAGCATTGTGGCTGTTCCAGTGTCAAGGCTCAATGCATGTTATCTTAGGATTGTGACTAAGAGATGTTTCTCTGGTATGCATATTAGCCAGCTTTCAAATGAAGATTAAAATGACGATTAAATTGGAATTAAAAACAGGAGCCCTGATTTTTTTTTAAAGATTTATTTATTCATTTTAGGGAGAGAAAGAGAAGCATGCTTGGGCATGCGTGAGTGGGGGAAGGGGCAGAGGGAGAAGGAGAGAGGATCTCAAGCAGGCTCCACCCCCAGCACAGAACTCACAACCCTGAGATCATGACCTGAGCGCAAATCAAGAGTCCAGGCTTAACCAACTGAGGAACCTAGGCACCCCAAGAGGCCCTGATTTTTATAGGAAAGTACATATTACTCAGGTTCTGCTGGCCAACTTTAGAGCATACTTTTGAGCAATGTGGTTTCTTTCTCTTTTGAATATGTACCTGTGTATAAGTATCTAATATTGAAACAAAGCTTTTGTGTATAGAAAAGTATAAACAATTACATGAGGTATAAATCTCAAATAGAAAAATCAAAATCTTTACTGGCCAAAAGATGCGATAAAAACTTTATGTTAAATGAATTCATCACATAATAATTTAGAAATTTGCATTTATTTGTACTTTACATGTCCTGGTGACAGATTTGAGTATCAGGAGTAGAAACTGGCTTAGGGCTTCAGTGTATAATGGGGGGGGCGGATTCAGCCCATAATAGGTACCCTATTTCTGTGAACACATTATTGTGAATAAACAAACTTGATTCTAGTTTTGACTCTTTCGCAAATGTGGGCTGTTGCTTTGGGTTGGTTGTGTGTTTCTATATACCCATTCCTCTTCCCCATAAAATATTTTTTTATTTTACGATACCAAAAATTGCATTGAATTAGAGAAACAATAAAACAACTGGCATATCAAAAGGTAGTGTTAAGTTTCAGGAAATAGAGTAACATAAGCCATTTAAAAAATATTGTACTTTCTTACTGATTTTAGTAATGAATATTTGCATGTTCACTTTTTGAATCAAAATGGTCCTGGCAATTTGTTTTGGCCATTTATCAGTTTCCTATAAATCCTAGAGCTGGAAGTTACCAGAAAGGTCTTTTACCCAACTGTGCAGTGTGAGAGGAGGAAAGCAGGGCAACAGAGGTTAGCTTACTGTCTCAAGGTCAGGTGCCAGAAAGTGCAGGTTACCTTACATCTTGCTCCGATATCTTCCTGTGTTCATGATGCTTCCTTCATATACCAGTTTAGTACTTTTAAACTGGCTTGTTTAGAGCTCAAGGATAACCTTCTACAGAATAGAGAATTAGGTTCTCATGTCTAATGATTTCATAGAAAAAAATAACATTTCTCTCTTATTTAGGCCTTCATGAAATTGGATTTCAACAAAACTGGCTGTGTGCCTATTATAGACATAAGAAAATGTTACTGTGCAAAGAAGCATCCTCAAGTAATTTCAGGTAATTATTATGAGTCAAAATGCATTAGATTTCTAAAATGTTAGTTAATAAAAGTAATATCTTATATTAACTTACAGTGCGGACTTGAGGCCATTAAGGGAGGAAATAAACAATTATTTTTTAAACCAGAAACATAAGAGCCATTTTACCTTCTTCGGCAGCAATATACTAAAAATTCTGAGGTCTATTGTCTGTGCTTATTCTTTTTCTTCGATGTTTATAAACTGAGATTGAACTTTTATTTCTTGAGGAATTTGAGTTAGGACAGAATGGATTTAGAGGACAGATAATTACATGTGTAAGTTCTCTGGGTTAGATTTACTGTATCTTTGTATACTTGGAAGATTTAAGGCAGAAAGTGAAAGTGTTTCTCTGGGAATGGAGGTACACGTATAATGGGCATACATATGTCTATCAAAATTTGAGGATCTAGAAAATATCTCAAATACATACAGGCGATTTGGGATGGTTTGGCTTAACAATTTTCTGACTTTACAATAGTGTGAAAACAACGTGCATTTAGTAGAAACTGCACTTCGAATTTTGGATTTCGATCTTTGCCCTGGCTAACGATATGCAGTACGATCCTCTCTTGTGATGCGGGCAGCGGTAGCCAGTCATGTGACCAGAAGGGTCAACAACCCATACACTTACATAACCGTTCTATGCCCATACAGCTATTCTGTTTTTCACTTTCAGTACAGTATTCAACAAATTATATGAGATATTCAATACTATATTATAAAATAGGCTTTGCATTAGGTGATTCTGCCCAACTATAGGCTAATTGTAAGTGTTCTGAGCACGAGTAAGGTAGGCTAGGCTAAGCTATGGTGTTTGGTAGTGTAGGCGAATTAAATGCATTTCAGCACAAGACAGTTTCAGTTTACAATGGGTTTATCAGAAATAACTTTATTGTAAGTCAGGGAAGATCTGTAATTTTAAAGATTCATTACCTACTATATTGCTTCTGACTGTAATTTTTACATAGTTGATTTATAAATAAACTATTATAAAGAAAGTTTTGGCCGCAGTAACTCTCCTCTTCATCACACGTTCCTCTATAGAGGTAACACTTAATATCATTTAATATATATACATTTCAGTCCTTACTCTATGAATTTTCATAGCTGTATAGGTACTGTAAATATCAAATACTTCTTGAAGTTTTTTTTTTTTTTTTTAACATGACAGGTACACTAAACACACTGCTATGTAGTTTACTTTTTACACTCAAAAATATGTTTTGGAGCTCTTGCCATATTAATCCATATTGGGCTACCTTATTTTTATCTGCTGCATATTATTCTTTTTAAAAATCAATACACTACAATTTACCTAGTCTCCTACTGGCAGACTTTAAATTTCTAAGCAATGAAGCAATGAATATGCTTATTTGTGACTCCTTAGGCTCATTTCCTGCTGTTTCCTGTGGGGGGGTAATTTCAATACCTAGAATATCTACGTTTCAAATTTTAATTGATACTTACAAATTGCATTGTAAGATGGCTATACCAGATTATATTGCCATTAGTTGGAGAATTCATTGCCCCGACTGTCATGCCAACACCAGAGAATTTTGCCAGTCTGATAGAGTAAAAAAATTTTTATTTGCATTTCCCTGGTTATTTGGAAGGTTAAACATATTTTTGTATATTTTTTGATCATTTGTAATTTATATTTTATGAAGTTTCTTTCTAATTTATGATTTTGATCATATACTGTTAAATACTATAGAATACTATTATTCCAGAATTTTCCCTTAATATTTTTATTATTAAAAGAAGATATGTTGTAATTATTTTGGTTTATCATCACTAACCCTTGTAAATGGTTTATTTATTACTTTTAATTATGAAGTGAAAAAACCAACACTTTGTCATAAAGATTAAAGCTAATCATCACTAGCTTCCCAATTTCTAATAGTCTCTTTTAGGTCAGAATAGTTTAATTTGCTTATCAATGACTTTAAATGAACTGCAGTTTCCATAAGAAAATTTCGAGCATTATTGAATTGGAGTTAGCATATCTCTTCCTTTAAACCTATGTCATTCTCTGCTTTTCTTCTTTAATTAGTCTTGCTAAATATAAGAACAAGATAGTTTACTTATTTCAAAATTAGGGGATTTCAACATCCTATATTGTTTTTCTCTTTGTTTTCTCCCTTCTAATAATTTTAATTAAGTTGCTAAAGTAGCATTAGTTTTGTTAGATGTCATTGAATTGTTGGTGAGGGTTTTGTTCTTGTTGGATAAGCCTTCATTAGTTTAAGAAATTCCATACCTCATCTTTGCATCACATTAAGGAAGATAAGCTAGTAGGTACAAATAGTCTTAAAAAAAGGAACACCCATTACAGTTTTTTAAAATTTAAAGTCTAAAAATTTATTATTATCTGTCATTACAAATTATAATCTTTTCACATGCCCATCTCTGGAAAATAAATTATTTACAATTTTTTAAAAAAAGGTTTATTTATTTGAGAAGGAGAGCGAAAGAGTGAGCAGGGGGAGGGGCAGAGAGAGAGGGAAAGAAGTAGACTTCCCAACAAACTCAGAGCCTAATGCTGGGCTTGATCTCATGACCCCAAGATCAAAGCTGAGCCAAATCTAGAGTTGGACGCTCAACTGACTAAGCCACCCAGGCGCCCCTAGATTATTTACAATTTATAATTAATTTCAAATTAAGGCTTTTATAGCACAATTTAACTATAGAAAATACTTTCTTTTTACTTTACTTAAATAATTTATTAGAAAAAGGTATTTTCAGCTTTAATAGAAATGAGATGTCCCAAATGTATTTCTGTGTAAAGATAGTAGAAATTTATCATTGTTTATTAAAATACTTCATGGTGTCTAAGAAGAGAGAAAGAAAGGTTAGTTACAAATGATAAAAGGTATGTATTTCTTGGGTGGTGATACAGTGGAGGTATAAAATTCTTGAGTATTTGAAACACAAATTTAAATAAAAAATGTTTTCATTAAAAAACAGTATTTTAGTATATGAGCTGTCGAAGCGAGCACTAAAAAACAGTATTAAAACTCATTTGTTCAAAAGTATGGATGGTAAACAGAGGAGGAAATCTCTTCTGCTAACAGCTATATATTTTTATATAGATTAGATCTTGGTTAATTTTAATCCTTGACTAACAATCACAAATTCACTCTATTGTTTTATATTACCATTTCTGCACAGCATAATTATTCAGTCCTTGTTCATTCAGCCGTTTTTAAAAATAAAATAATTGTTCTTTGTTTTGCACACATTTTTAAAAGACCGCGAACGTCTGAAGCATTTTTTTAATGTGAAAGGCACTTAATCTCAGTCCATTAGAGGACCTCTGGTTTTTAAAAAAGATCCAACTCTTATCCTAATTTTGTCCACCTCATTAGACAATTAAGGTGGTATTCCCAATTTAAGTTTGTTATTTTAAAATGCAACATGACTTCAAAATGATTTAGAGGGTCATTTAGATTTTTCTGACATTCTTTTGCCTTTATATATGGATCTCTATTTTCTTTGAGTATCATCTGACCATATTTGTAGCTTCCTTTCATCTTTTAATTCCTCTTATTAAAAACTTAATGAATGTCATTTCTCCTTTTACATGCTAGGATCCTGGGAGTAGATCTAGATCCGTGTGAATAGGGTAGCATCTGAGATTGCTCCTTCCCTTTAACTGATGACAATATAACCCACGCTACTTATTTAAATAGCTTATTGTTCTCTTTCTGAATTAAAAAAAATCAAATGAATTAAAAGACTGCATCAGATATTTTATGTTCCTTCTTTGTTTTTTTTTTTTTAAAGATTTTATTTATTTATTTGTCAGAGAGAGACAGACTGCGGGAGCGCACAAGCAAGGGGAGCAGCTGAGGGAGAGGGAGAAGGAGGCTCCCTGCTAAGTGAGGAGCCCGATGCAGGGACTTGATTCCAGGACCCTGGGATCATGACCTAAGCTGAAGACAGACGCTTAACTGACAGAGTCACCCAGGCGTCCCTGGTTTTTGTTTTTTGTTTTTTTTTAAAGAACTTTTACAGTATTTTAATTGAATTTAAACGGCTGTGAAAGGGTGATTCTAGAGATATAAAATTTCCAGGCTTAATATATTCTTCCTTATTTGCTAAAATTGACCTGCTTCTCCCAAATTAAACTAAGTGGCATATTCTTTTTAGAAGTACTTTTCAGTCACAATCTATGGGTGGAGACTACAATGTCTCAATCATCTCAGTAATACACAGGGTTAGGAATCTTAATGTGTATAGCATGGTCAAATGAATAATTTTTTTTCTTTTTTTTTTAAGATTCTATTTATTTATTTATTTAAATTCAAGTTAGTTAACATATAGTGTATTATTAGTTTCAGGATAGAGTTTAGTGATTCATCAATTGCATACAACACCCAGTGCTCATTATTTCAAGTGCCCTCCTTAATGCCCATCACCCAATTAC